ATTCAGCGTGGAACAAACTCCCAGACGGCACAATAATATTTAGTTTCAAAGTCAGGCTTTTTACCACGGTACAGACAGGTACAGAAATGTCAAGCCTTTCAGTTAAAAAGAAAAAAACAAACAAAAACCCCACAACCCATTTGCAGGTCCCCGGTATTCCCCAAGAAACAGGAGCATCCCACTGCATTGCCATTGCCAGCTGGGCACACGGCCCAGCCGGCAGCACTAGGTGCCCGCCCCAAGCGAACCACGCCTGCTCAGAGAACACCTTTTTCCCCCTTTAGAGACCCAAGAAATACTTAGAGGTCAATCACATTTTGGCAAGTAACCTTTGGTTAATGGCAGCAATACATTTCAACAGCCACAGGCATGAGGTAACGATCCACCCCCCCCACTTACTGAGCAGGATGCCAGTGCTTTACAAAAATAAGTAGCCGTGTTTATCACTGAAGACATTTTAGAGCCAAATGCCCTTATTCACAGCGCACAGCCCTTGACTGTGATTATGAACAGAGAACATCTTATTGCTTTTTGAAATATTTTTACCTTTCAAGCCTCATCTTCCACTTCATCCTGGCCTCTTTTCTAGTCACAGAGAAGACTCTTAAATATTGTGCTTCTCACAGGAGGTCTTCCACCTCCATAAAGCACTTTGAGATCTTTGGATGAAAGGTGCAATCCATTTTAAGTGCAAAATACTACATATGAATTCTATGTCCATACAAGACATCGCAGGTCCAATAAAGTCATCCTGTTTGGTCTACCCACCTATCACTTCACAGCCATGGGAGTCAAACAGAAATGACAGGGAAGATACCAAACCTGGAACAAAGTCCAACCACTTTAATATATTTCATAATATATTCTACAAACTATTTGATATATAAAAAGCAACAATGAAAGAACTTTGCTTTTTATACACGCTTATATTATGCCCTCAAAACTGGGAAATAACCAGAATTAAGGCCACCTGTCCTACTTCCAGCCACATTATCAATCTAGAATAATCAAAGCAAACAATTTTGCCCTTACAGCCTCTCACGCTAAATGTGTTTCACAACCACCCCCTCTAAATGCCTTTTTTACTGGCACTCTTCCCGCCCCGCGTGGCTGACAAACTCTGCTCAACTTTCCCAAGCGCTCCTACAAAGTTGCCCAATGGGGAACAAAAGTTAATATGAAAATGCTGTTTTAAGGAGTCACTATGTTGTTTTTAAATTTTTTTTTTTTAAAAACACACCGCCATTTCATAGCAGCAACATTGCTGTACTTGCAGTGGTCTAAATCATATAGGGGATGTGTATGTCTAATCTGCGGAAGCACCACGTCTCAAAACCCAAGACAAACACCCCCGGCTCTGGGGCAGATCATAGAATGCTTTGGGTTGGAAGGGACCTTTAGATATCATCTAGCCCAAAAAGCTTCTCTTCCTGCAGCTCCCAGCTTGCTTTGCTGCCCAACCTCCCACGAGGAGCGACAGGGACACCAAGGGGACACTTTCTGGTACCTACGATCCCAGTTCCCCACTCTCAGTACCAGCTGCCTTGTGCAGCATGCCAAAAGGACACCCTCAGCGCATGGGCAGAGCACTAGTACGCGACTGCATTGTGATGCCCAGGCGCGTGGAGACTTGAAGTCTAAGCTTTAAAGGCAGTTTTAATTCTGGCATTTCTCAACTTTTGAGCACTTCGCTTCCCAGGTTTAAGCCAAGGCCAACTGTGGCATCCTGTGCTACTCATAGCGAGTTTTAGGGATGGGGGCAAAACCAGAGACTTGTTCAGTTTTAACAGGCACGTACCTCCACGTCAGAGAGGCAAGCATGGCTCTACTGCGGCTACGCTAAGATCCCACACCAGGGAGGGAGGGAGGGCAGAAACCTGCACCTCCAGTGCTTGTACTGCTTGGAGATGTCCTTTGTAAGAACAGTTCATTCCATGTGGCATACATGCCTGCGGCACCCCACCACAGAAACTGGCTCAGGAGGTTAATGATGCTCAACTGGAGTAACACTGTTCTCTGCTGCAGACAAGTATAAGCCATCCTCAACCTGTCTTTAAATGCCTGGTTTTGTAAAGGAGGATCAAGAAAAAACAGGACACTACTACATGGATCTTTTTCTTTGCAATACTAATCTCTACAGCGAAACATTCATAACTGCTCAACAGAGTAAAAATATGCTACATCAAAACTATACCAGAAAAAGCAGGACCCCTGTAACAGCTGGAGAAGAGTCTGCAGATAAAAATCAGAATTAAACAGCCAGCTTAAAAATATGCCACTAAAAACATATGAAAAAATAAGGTTGTCCTTTCTTTACAGTTTGGCAGACATTGGAACTGGTGCAATTCACAGACGCTCATCTTCTTGTTCAATGTTGCTGTTGGCATCTCAGCACGTTGTCTGACCAAGGAACAGAAGGGGCACGGCTACCCAAGTCAGACAGCACAGGGTTATGTCCCTTTGATGGCAGGGAGAGCTGGAAGTGTGCTCAAGTGCTCACCTGAAGCAGGTACTTGACTCTTCCGAATTAAGCATTGCATATTACACTCGAACAGGAAACACGCTGCCTTCCATCTAAATTGTCATTACAAACCACTGTAGAAGCAAGGACATCCACTTGGTATCAGTACGAGAAGGCTAGCGCACTTAATACTGAGAACTACGCTGTTCGTATGATCGAGTGAATTGCAGGTCCATATAAAGTACAGAAAGCTAAGACATTTGTCTGCTCTCCTGGGAAGTATATACTGCTTGGACAGCAGACAAACTACCAATGAAGACAGGCTCCAAACTAATAGCATTTCCCAGGGAATTAATTTACAAAGTGCCACTGGTCCTTGGAACCAAATGTAGTGTACAGTATATTACAGCAAACACTAGCTCTACAGCTTGTGTTGGCCCTTCTCTGCACTATATGCAGAAGGAATCAAATGTTCAGACTCTTTACAATACACTCCTTCCCTTTTTATACAAAGGAAAATAAAAATATAAGTTAAAACAGCAATAAATAAAACTACAGAATGTATGTGTCCTGGTCAGCCCCCTTTGTGCATTCCAATCAGACTGGAGAGCTTCTCACAGTGCTCAAGTTTCAGTGATTCTGCTTTCTGTTTTAACCGCTCATCTCTGTATAGCTTGGCCAAATTTGACAAATCAGACTCTGAAAAATGAAAAAAAATATACATTAGGATGAAGTTGTGAGCCTATGTTACATACCTGTCAGTGCTTTGTTATCCTTTTGGCATATTTTTTTTAATTCACCTTGTTTCAGTGAAACTGGGCATGTTAACAACTCTCTTTAAAGAGAGGCCATCAGATTTAACCAGGCTAGCTACTTAAGAAAACAGTATTTTCATAATTGCTTGAAAACTCAGTTATAATAACCCTCTCTACCAGTGCACTAGTAGGAAAATAACCAAACAAAAAGTAAGACTGATTATTACTCTCTGCAACGAAAAAAATATAGCTTAGAAGTCACGTAAGATTTAAAATTATGTTAATGATCTAAAGAATAGGCAATTGCTTTAAAATATACATATATATTTAAACTAACTGCACATAAAAAGGGGCTAGTAAGATACCATTTGATCTGCTACACAGCACCCATCTTAGGCGATACTGCTGTTTACATTTGAACTACATCTCATCTCATCATGCATTGATCCTTACTGACATTATCACCGGGCACAGATTGGCAGAGGGGGGTTACTCGTTGCCCATCAGTGGTATTTAAGTGACAAGCCAGAAGGAAAGAGAGCCTCGTGACTACTTTTCCTATCGCTGCCTTGGGGCTGTGTCAGCTGTCTGCAGCCTCATAGCAGCTAACTACAAGACATACACCCCTGCCCACATAACTGAGAAATGCAATTCTCTTGTCAGATCCATTCTGCAATGGCCCAGAGCATCCATCCAAATATATACTTTCAGGTACAGATAACTGGTTTTTTTCATGTTGCACTTCTCAGAATTCAAACTCTGTCTGGCAAGAGGCTTGCCCAGAAGGCATGCTAATTTTTTTTTTTTTTTTTGGTATTGATTACAGGAAGGTGAACAGCTAGCTAAGGGACTTGTCTGAAAGGCCTCTGTGCCTGTTCATTAACAATACGATCTTGAATGTACTTCGCATATTTCCCCCCCTTCTCATAACTGAAATAATCCCATTGTTTACATTATTTCCTCCCAGTAATTCAGAGAAGTTTCTTATGCAGATTAGCTAAGGAAGTCTTAATACAGCTTTCTCCCTGAAGAGTAATTTAGATCCAGGATTAGATGCACCTAAGAGAACAGCAGTAATTTGTTTCAAAAAGGTCAAAATTTCCGTAAGCACAGGTTACCGGATGACAATTTTTCAAAGAGCTTTCGTATATCTTACAAGTCCCTCATTTTACAAAATCATTCAGAGTGCAAAGAACTTCAACAGGTCCTTTCATGCCTTATGTCCTCTGTCCCTGTCCCACTGAAATTTAAAGCCATTTAACCCTCCACCTATTTATTGAAAAGCTTTACAAACTGACAGACATAACATTTTATTTTAGATCAGAAATAAATTTTCAGGTTTTATAACTAAAATGCCACTCAGGTAGTGCTGGGCACATAGCCTTCACAGGCCTTCAGCAAAACTAGGCTCAGGTAATTGTCTCCGAGTCTACAGTCCTTGGATTTCTGCAGCGAAGAATCTTAAGTTTACGCTTATGCAACTGGGCAAAAATAGTCACTGCAAATGCTTATACTTTTGACGGCATTCATTCTGTCATGTTGTTTTCTTATGTTTTCAATCTTTTACATAAAGTTGTTCCTTTGCACATTTTAAGGAACTCCTAAAATACCCAATTCCAACTACGTATTCTCCTCTGTTTCCAGTTGCGCCTCTAATTTTCTCTGACTTGGAGCTCTTTGCAGTCTTACTTTGCAATTGTGCTGAACAATCTCCTGCAAAAACCTGGGACATGCCTTTTGTACTGTATCAAAGATTTCAGAAGACCAAAAACCATAGCATATGCAACTTTTACACACTATTCCGCTGTGAAGGGAGGAACACTGTCTACTGCAGCAGTGTAAAAGTGACTGGCTGAACACGATACCAATATATCAGTTACTTTTGAAGTTTTCATTATGGTAGCTGGACATCAGGTAACACTTTACAAGTCATAAAATCAAGGACTTTAAAAATCAAACTGTTCCTATATAACTATGTCCATTTTGCTGGTGCTAAAGAGAAATGCACCCTCAGTAAACCAAACAAACATACTACGAATAGACATTCAACTGACAAAAAAGAAAAGTTGACCACATTAAGTTAAACACTTAAACAAGAATTAATGGAATTAATGGACCAAAGTTATGAAGCAACAGCTGACTAAGAACTGTCTCAACATCTCCAGAGAACATTTCCCTAGTACTCCATCTTGTATTCACAGTTTATTTTTACAAACTTGGCTGTACTAAAGTTAGCACAGTCTCAGATGTGCTCATTACCTGCTCACTGGCCTAGCTGGTAATCATTCTGAATTTTTTATTTTTTTTTTAAAATTACAGTGGTCTTCTCAGTCTACTGGGAATTGCATACCTTGTAAATATATTTGCAGATGTGTGACTAACAAAGTCTCCAAGTGTAAAAAGCTCCAGAGGAGCATTGTTTTGCAGGCATTACTTGGCATTCAGTGCTGGATCATCTCCCCCCCCCCCCCCCCCC